TTGTGATCGCGCCTCTGGTTGTGCCCCTGCGGCTTGTGCTGGTGGTGGTGCACTAGCGCGTGACTGCGGAGAAGCTGTGCGAGACTGCGAGGTGGATGAAGGCCTACGCTCACGCTGCTGTTGCTGCGACGACTGAGCTTGATCTAACTGCTCAAAGAGTGGATGCGGCGTGCCAGGGTATTGCTCAAGTTGTCCCTGTTGTTCCTCAGGGAACTGCGATTCACGTAAATGCGACCTATGGATATCCATAAGGGTAGCCAGGACTGTTCTGGCTTCTGCAACTGCGGCGTTCGCTGCTGCGGCGGCCTCCTGAAGATCAGCCCAATGAACATCGTAATATGCGAGAAGGTCCACGAGCTGAGGTGGAGGCTGCTGTCCTCTAAATACATAAATCTGAAGGTGCGTTAAAAGTTTGATATTGCGATGATCGATGTTGTGGATCAAATCGTGGATGTGCTCTATATGCACAAATAACGCAAGCGCGTCAGGCGAGCGATGACTTTGCGACGCCTGAGTAAGATATTCTACAAGCTCTTGCGTAAGTGCGCGTATCCCTTTTAGATGTTGAACAATCTCGAAGACTGTGAAGTAGGGATACCCAGCGGCTTGCTCGTCAGCCCAGTCAGGGAGGATGATCTCCTTAGTGAAGTAACTACGGATCATGCGGTGGTAATCTGACCTTAGAAACGCATCAATGCTGACATAATCATGCGCTCCTAAGTGGGCTGTGCGAAATACGTAGTCAGGATTAAGCGTTATAGTGAGCCGCTGCAACAAAAATAAAAACGCTTTATCCTCTGGCGCTACTGCGGCGAGCTGCGTCTCATTATCCTCGCTAAGACGAAGTGCTGCGTCAGGATTGTGCCTGCGAATTAACGAAAGCAAACGCTCTGCGGTAGTAGGTGTTCGAATGAATGGCGCATGCCACTCCGGATTACCGCGGGTAAGTGCGCTTTGCTTTGCCCCTACAGGTGGCTGCGGGACTTCTATGTCCGGACGCGATTCGCCCACTCTTGCCTTCGACAACTCCTGCCTAAGCCTTGCAACTGCGGAAGGATCTAAGTGCGGACTTGCCCTAGTCAAGATCTGTGCCTGCTTCCTCAAAAACCGGATCCCCCTCTGACGCCGAACGTTCCGGCAACCCAGGTGTACCTGCGATGACGGACGTGATGATAAAGACGACGTCTGTTGCGATGGCACCTGCGATTGCTGCTGCGTGGACATGCGTGAATAACTTTGCACCGGACGACTTGAACGAGGCAAACTTACCTGCGATTCTGCGTGCTCTTGCCATGAGCGCCTTCACCAAATGAACGATAAGACATTTCGAAAGCTTCGGGGAGGTCAATCCCGATGGTATACACACAATTACCTCAAATGGCGTAGTATGACGCTGCGGATGTTAAAGCGAACTACGCGGTACGACCCGAAGCAATAGGTGCAAGTGCAATAAAGGTGCAAAGGAAATGTCAAAATGTCTCGATAGAAGTGCGTAAAGAAAGAAAAGAAAAGTGGTACCGATGATTTGGTCAGTGCGTCAGTTATTAATGACATTGATGTCGTTCATCAGCAATAGTGAAAGAAAGGATGGAGAAGAGAAGGCAAAAAAGGTGGTTAAATATGATGGGTAAATACTTATATTGAAGCCTGAAAAGGCTTAGTACCTTCGCACAGTGTGAAGCTGCGAGAATTAACTACGCAGCTAATAATTCACACAATTATGACGCTACGATAACGTAGGAAAGTGCGTTTGTTAAAAAGTAATGCGCTCACTGCAAAAATGATCGCATGGCGCACGCCGGTAAAGGCGCTGCGACAGTGCGAAATAATGACCAGTAAGCAATAAATTATGACATTTGATAGGCAGCATGGATCGGCTGCGTAACTAGTGTGACAAAATGACTGTGCGGTAAAAAATGTGTGTGAAAGGAAGAATGTGCGCGTAAAATGTTGTAAGTGCGCACACAACAATGAAGAGAAAAGAAAGAAAGTGCGACAAAATGTGAGAAATAGCTCGACAAGAATGAACTTGTCAAGGAACGACATCAATGGCACTGCGAAACAAAAAGTTACAAACTAGAAAAGCTAACGCAACTGTGCTACCTGACCAATCCATCGTCCTTGCGATAGAAGAGAGAGGACTATAAGAATACCATGTCGTAGGCCAGCAGATTAGTGAATGATAAGTCGCTGAAGATGGAAGTGCGAAGATGACGTGGATTTCGCAACGTACGTGTGCTCAACCGGATTTCGAAAGTAAGCTTTACCGCGGCCGTGCTCGCATGTGATTAGAGCACGTTATGTTCTAGTGAAGCTTAATGAACTTACCTCGGTTAGAAGACGTACGAAACGAATATAACGCATAACGATCAGCTTGTGGTACGTCTTTGCGACTCGACTAGGTTGCGTTCTCTGCGGCAGCGGCGGTGTTAGATCTTTCTGCTGCCTGTGCGAATCTGATGGATACGTGCATTTCGCCTGAATCTCTAAAGGATGCAGATGCGCTATTGATCGCGTGAGAAGTTTCCCACTGGATGTGCGAACATCTGCAGATCGAAACTTACCATCTGAACCGCTATGGATCTTTACTACAAGCCCTAATGGAAAATGACTTCTAGG